TTTAAATAATGTTCTCACGCAATTTCGTTTGTGTGTGTTTGGGTGGTTGCTGTTGAAATTTAGTACTTGGTCAGTGTGTGTGGCTTTCCTGTGTACCTTTGTTAAGAATTCCCCATTGGTCTTGCATTCCACCATGCCATCCAGGAATGGGTGTTGTTTGTTCTTTTCCTCTTCTCTGGTGAATCTGATCCTGGTGAGGGTGTTGTTTATTAGTTCGAGTGTCTCCTCTAGTTTGATCATTTAATAAGGACGAAGGTGTCATCCACGTAGCATATCCATAGTTTCAGTTGGATTAGCAGAAGGGCCATGTTTTCAAGTCTCTGCATCACCGCTTCAGCTATTAGTCCGGAGATCTGTACATATATTTGGCCATTAAAGGTGAAGTGATCTTTAAGGGGCCCTATTCTCTCTTTTGTTACTCTTTTGCCCTTAATATCCTTGAATCTCTTTGGATTCTTCTTTACTCTATCCTGCAAAACTATCTCAAATCCCCTTTTTGTCCTCCTGATTTCCCTCTTAAGTGTACTCCTGCATCCTCTATACACCTGCCGAGATTCACTTGAGCCCAGCTGCCCATACATGTCGTATGCCTCCTTTTCCTTGACCAGAACCTCAATATCTATAGTAATCTAGTGTTCACAACTCCTTCCAGCCTCACTCAAGATGATCGGAGGATTAGATAGGGTGGACAGTGGGAGCCTTTTTCCTCGGATGGTGATGGCTAGCATGAGGGGACATAGCTTTAAATTGAGGGGTGATAGATATAGGACAGATGTCAGAGGTAGGTTCTTTACTCGGAGAGTAGTAAGGGCGTGGAATGCCCTGCCTGCAAAAGTAGTAGACTCGCCCACTTTAAGGGCATTTAAATGGCCATTGGATAAACATATGGGTGATAATGGAATAGTTTAGGTTAGATGTGCTTCAGATTGGTTTCACAGGTTGGCGCAACATCGCGGGCCGAAGGGCCTGTACTGCGCTGTATTGTTCTATGTTCACTCGTCACTCTAATGGGAATGTGCTGGCCCTGAACTCTCATTATCTCACTTTTGAAAGCCTCCCACTTGCCAGATGTTCCTTTACCTGTGAACAGCCTCCCCCAATCAGCTTTTGAAATTTCCTTTCTAACACAATGAAAATTGGCCATGCCCCAATTTAGAGCTTTAACTTGGGAACCAGACCTATCCTTTTCCATAACTATGTTAAAACTAATAGAATTATGATCACTGGTCCCAAAGTGCTCCCCCCAACACCTCATCACTTGCTCTACTTATTTCCCAAGAGGAGATCAGATTTTGCCCCTTCTTTGAAAGGGCCATCTACATATCGATTGAGAATTTTTTTCTGAAAACACTTGGCGGTGGGCTTGTCAAGATGGACTTCAGCAAGGCATTCAATAAGCTACTGCTTGTAAACTGGTTGGCAAGGTTAGAGCACATGGAATTCAGGGAGAGCTAGCCATTTGGATACAAAATTGGCTCGAAGGTAGGAGACCGGGTGGTGATGGAGGGTTGTTTTTCAGATTGGAGGCCTGTGACTAACGGTGTGCCACAAGGATCAGTGCTGGATCCACCACTTTTGGTCATTTATATAAATGATTTGGATGTGAATATGGGAGGTATGGTTAGTAAGTTTGCAGGTGACACTAAAATTGGTGGTATAGTGGGTAACGATGAGGGTTATCTGAGAGTACAACTGGACATTGATCAGGTAGGCCAATGGGCCATGGAGTCGCAGACAGAGCTTAATTTAGATAAATGTGAGGTGGTGCACTTTGGAAAGGCAAATCAGGGGAGGGCTTTTATACATTTAATGGTAAGGTCCTGGGGAGTGTTGCTGAACAAAGAGACTTTGGAGTGCAAGTTCATAGTTTCTTGAAAGTGGAGTCGCAGGTAAACAGTGTAGTGAAGAAGGCATTTGTTATGCTTGCCTTTATTGGTCAGTGCATTGAGCATAGGAGTTGGGAGGTCATGTTGTGGTTGCACAGGGCGTTGATTAGCCCACTTTTAAAATACTGCATTCAATTCTATGCTCCCTGCTATAGGAAAGGTGTTGTGAAATGTGAAAGGGTTCAGAAAAGATTTGCAAGGATGTTGCCAGGGTTGTAGGGTTTGATCTGTAGGGAGAGGATGAATAGACTGGCACTGTTTACCCTGGATCATCGGATGCTGAGAGGTGACCTTATAGGGGTTTCTAAAATCATGAAAGGCAATGATAGGGTGACTAGCCAAGGTCTTTTCCCTGGGGTGTGGGAGTCCAAAACTACGGGGCGTAAGTTTAAGATGAGCGGAGGAGATATAAAAGGGACCTAAAGGGCAACTTTTTCATGCAGAGGGTGGTATGTGTATGGAATGAGGTGCTAGAGGTGGTGGACACTGGTACAATTACAACATTTAAAAGGCATCTGGGTATATGAATAGAGGAAGGGTTTAGAGGGATATGGGCCAGATGCTAGCAAATGGAACTAGATTTATTTAGGATATCTGGTTGGCATGGGTGAGTTGGACCAAAGGGTGTGTTTCCATGTTTTATATCTCTATGACTCTTAACAAATTCCTCTCCATCCAAGTCCTTAACACTGTGGCAGTCCCAGACTATGTTTGGAAAGTTAAAATCTCATACTATTCTAACCCTATTATTCTTACAGTTGTCTGTGATTTCCCTGCATGTTTGCTCCTCGATTTCCTGCTGACTTGGGTGTCCTATAGTACAATCCCATTAAAGTAATCACCCCTTATTTCTCAGTTCCACCCATATAGCCTCACTGGACAATCCGTCAGGAACATCCTCTCTAAGTACTGCCGTTTTCCTTAATCAAAAACTCCACTGCCCACTCCTTGCCTCCCCTGTTTCCTCCTTATTGTATCGGTACCCCAGAACATTGAACTGCCGGTCCTGTCCCTGCCTCAGCCATGTTTCTGTAATAGCTTTGATATGCCAGTCACATGTACCTGTCCACGCTCTGAATTTTTGTGCCTTACCTGTCAGGCCTCTTGCATTGAAATAAATATAATTCAACTCATCAGTTTTCCCTCATTCCCTTTAACTTGTTCTGTTTAACTTCTGTGCTGGCCTCAACCTTCTCTTTTGTCTCACTACTGTTAAAGGTACCACCCTGTTGCCAGACTAGTTTAAACCCTCCTGAGTAGCTCTAGCAAATTTCCCCACCAGGATATTGATCTCTCTCCAGTTCAGGTGTAACCTATCCCCTTTGTACGGGTCACCTCTGCTCTACAGGAGATTCCAATGGTCTGAATCCCTAACCCCTGTGCCAGCTCCTCAGCCATGCGTTCATGTGCCCTATCCTCCTATTCCTATTTTTACTGGCACGTGGTTCCAAGAGTTTACTACCCTTGAGATCCTGCTTTTTAACCTCTTGTCTCAACTCCCTATATTAACTCGGTAGAACCTCATCCCTTTTTCTGACTGTTTTTTGTCCCAACCTGTGCAACAACCTCCTTTGAGAAATTGCTGCAACTGCTCCGAGGTGTTCTTTTTCCCAGGCACCAGGGAGACAAAACACCATCCTGGAGTCTCACTCGCGGCCGCAGAAACACCCATCTGTGTCCATGACTGGAGAGTCCCCTATCCCAATTGCTTGCTTGGGAATGTGGCCAGTGGGAGCATGGTCAGTATGGACTGGTTGAAACGAAAGGTCTGTTTCCAAGCTGTATGACTCTATGCCTCTGTAAGAAATAAGTGTAACAGTAGACAATACTGTGTCTTGATGCTGATCTTCTGCTTCCAGACTCTCTCGCTGCCATATTCAAGATCCCTTCATTTCTCGGGAGATCAAAAATCCACATTAGTATACTCTGATGTAGAGGTGCCAGTGTTGGACTGGAAAAGTCAGAAGTCCGACAACACTAGGTTATAGTCCAACGTGTTTGTTTGAAATCACAAGCTTTCGCAGCGCTGCTCCTTCATCAGGTGGGAGCAGCACTTCGAAAGCTTGTAATTTCAAATAAACTTGTTGGAGTATAACCTGTTGTTGTGTGACTTCTGACCATATACTCTGTGACAGAATGTCAATGACCTCTGGAGTAGGGAATTCTAAAGAAAGACAACCCTTTGAAGGAATAAATGCCGCTTGCTCTGAAGTTTTCAACCTCTTATCTGAGACTGTACATCTCTGTTCTAGTTTCCCAAGCCAGAGCGTGCGACCTCCCCATATCTATCTTAAGTCCCTTCAGAATCTTGTATATTTCGGTTAGATCACTTCGCATTCTTCTAAAAGTTAAAAGCAAAAGTCAGTTAGCTTAGTTAGCTGGACAGCTGGTTTGTGATGCAGGGTGATGCTAACAGCCTTGTTTCAATTCCTGTACTGGCTGCGGTTACGATGAAGTAATCTCCTCCTCAACCTCGCCCTTTGCCTGAGGTGATGTGAACTTCAGGTTAACCTCTATCAGTTCTCTCTCTCTCTCTTTCTGTAATAAGAAAGCAGAATTTAAGCATCGCTGCCAAACTCCGGAGAGTACGGCAGGTTAGAGTAGGCGATGATCTTGTGTTATCACTTGACCGTTACTCCATGTGGGCACCTAGGTTTGATGACTCATGGTGGAATTTGAATTCAATAATAATTTGGAATTAAGAGTCTAACGATGATCAGGAAATCGTTGCTTCTCATCGATAACAGTGTAGAGCTGGAGGAACACAGCAGGCCAGGCAGCATCAGAGGAGCAGGAAAGTTGAAGTTTTGGGTCAGGACCCTTCTTCGGTTACGGATGGGCAATAAATGCTGGTCCAGCCAGTAATGCACGCATCCCATGAATGAATAAAAAAAACGTTTACTTTGCACAGCATTCAAAGGACTACCTTCTCATTTTACATCCCTTTGGTGTAATAGAACCAAAGGATTAAAAATTACATCATGTGAACTGAACCTTTTGATGTATTTGCATTTGCTTTCAGGAGTGTATTTTTGAAACAGAGATAAGAGCTGTCGTAAAGTGTGATTCTTGCTTACATGTATAACCAATTCATCATAATAATTTGCTTTGTAGTGAAAGACAAGAAATGGATTGAAGTGGATATCTCAGAGCATCAGACACATGCCATGAGATTGCTGGATGGCCTAGAGGTAACTGCCAGGGAGAAAAGGCTGAAAGTGGCTCGTGCTATACTTTATATGGCACAAGGTAACATCTAGTTGTAAATATTAAACAAAATGTATGTAAATTATTGATCTCTCACCTTGACGAAGCAAATATTTGCAAAGTCAAAAAGGATCCAATTAGAGAAAACCAGTGTCAACGTAAACACTGCCGGATGAAGTAAAGCGTAGGATGCAAAATAAATTTCAACTCTGCGCTAACCTTAGTAGTCAATGCAGCAGAAATATATTTTTTTTCTGCAGCAGGCGATTGATTGCTGCATAAGGGCAGCATGGTGACAGCGTGGTTAGTACTGTTGCCTCACAGCACCAAAGACCGGGTTTGATTCCAACATTGGTGTGTGTTTGCACGTTCTCCTCCTATCTGTGTGGGTTTCCGCCAGGTGCCCCGATTTCTCCTCTCCCCTCATTCTAAAGATGTGTAGGTTAGGTGGATTGGTCATGCTAAATTGCCTCACAGTATCCAGGATATGGATTAACCATAGTAAATGTGGGGTTACGGGGATAAGGTAGGAGTGGGTCAGGGTAGGATACTCTTTCAGGGATCGGTTCAGACTCAGTGTGTCGAATGGCCTCTTTCTGCAGTGCAGAAATTCAATGAAGGATAATTTATTGACATTGGTACATGTCACCTTATCTGTTACAATTGAATTTGTATGCTAATCCTAGGTGAACAGCTGGAGTCAAATCTACTGGGTCACCTCTCCTACTGCTTGTAATTTGTTAATGTCAATGGAATGTTTCTGGATGAGAGGAGGTGTAAGCTCCTTTTGCTAAGATTTTTGTAGTGCAGACGTGTTTATTTGAAGTGTTTAAGAGCGGCCACATATTTGTAAGTGTTTTGTAAGGTAAAATTCAGCATCAGGGCCCTCATCGTACACAGTTGGATGTGGACTCAGCACTGATCATGAATGAGCTCGTGGACACATTTTCCAACCTCCTGTTTATGTTTCTGTTATTTTGTGAAGGCAACTATTGTCTGTCTTCTCAATTTCAACTACTTGTACCTTCTTCATCCTTTATGTTTTATCATGTTTTATTGCTGGATCAGAATCCCACAGCATTGTGTAGGCATCTACACCAAACGGGCTGTAATGGTTCAAGAAGGCAGTCCCTCAACACCACCAAGTTTGTGCCTGACAAATGTTTTAAGGAGGTGACCAGGTGTTTTGATGAGGGTGGTTCAGTCATGGCGTAAATTATGAGGTTATGTTGGAGCTGTACAGAACTTCGGTTAGGCCACAGCTGGGGTACTGTGTGTAGTTCTGGTCACCACACCATAGGAAAGATGTGATTGCACAGGAGAGGGTGCGGGTGCAGACGAAGTTCACCAGGATGTTGCCTGGGATTGATGATTAATGGGGAGCTGATGGCCTTGTGGATTGTTGCGAAACTATTAATCTAGAGACCAGTTAATGTTCTGGTGACCCAGGTTTGAATCCTGCTATGACAGAAGGTAGAATTTGAATTCAATAAAGATCTGAAATTAATAGTCTAATGATGACCATCAAACTGTTGCTGATTGTTAGGAAAACCCATCTGGTTCACTAATGTTCTTCAGGGAAGGAAATCTGCCATCTTTATTGGATCTGATCTACATGTGACTCCAGACTCATAGCAATGAGGTTGACCCTTAAGGTAAGAGCAAGAAATGCTGGCCTAGCTAGCGATGCCCACATCCTGTGAATGAATAAATAAGGAGATGGAGCAGTTTAACTATGAAGAGAGCCTGGACATGGTCTTGTTCTCTTTAAAACAAAGAGGGCTGAGAGGGGATCTGATTAAGGTGTATAAGATTGAGGGAGATGGTAGGGTGGATAGACAGCAAGATTTTCCTTGAAACATCTATAAAAAGGGAGTCATAATTTTTCGGTGAAAGCGAGGACATTTAGAGGGGATTTGAGCAAAGATTCTTTTCACCCAGAGTGTGCCTGGGAGGGTAGTTGAAGCAAGAAATCTCCCAATCTTCAGAAAATATGTGAGTGAACACTTGAAATGCCATAACATTCAAGGGATGGGCTGAGTGCTGGAAGTTGAGACTCGTGTAGATTTAGAGTAGTTTTATTTTGTCAGTGTTCTCTTTTGTACTGTACTGTTCTATGAATCAATTTTCACCCTCTTTGTAAGTTTTCACCACATTGTAAATATTTTCCTAATCAACCTGCTCAGATGTCATTACACACCTCTAGAGAAGGTGGGACACGAATCTGTTCATGACTTTGTCTGCCTTAGATTTTGATTGGATACTTTCCTTGACTGCCTTTGTATCCACTGGTGGTTGGTTCATCTTTCTCATTGAGTCCTTTTTGGCTGATATACTTTTGCTAAGCACTGTGAAATACCTGCTGAAATGTCTGCTACTGCTCATCCACTGCCCTTCTCTGTAGTCTATTTTCCTAGCCCATTTTAGATAATTCTATCTTCATACCTCAGTAATTGTTTTTATTTAAGTTGAGGACACAAATTTGAGACACAAGTTCCTCTCTTTCACATGAATTCGAAATGTTACCCTGTAATTGCTAGCCCCCAGAGGCTCCTCAACTGAAATATTTCTTAATCCTATCTCATTACCCATAACTGGATCTAAAATATCCTGCTGTCTTGTAGGTTCTGCAACATACTGCTCAAAGAAGCAATCCCTGGTGCACACTAGAAATTCACCTTCCACGTCACCCTTACCCATGTGATTTGTCCAGTGAATATGCAGGTCAAAATTACCCATAAGAATTGTAGTGCACTTCTTACACGCATCCAAAGTTTGCCAATTTGTACTATAAAATGTAACATTGAACATCTAAAAGGAAATATGCTGGAAAGGCTCAAACCCATATTGAGAACTGTTTGTGTCTCTTTCAGGTGCTCATTCTGCATCCGTGATATTTTCTGATTCATTCCATATTTCTTCTGGCTGGTTTTAATCGACTGAAAAGTGTTTTTGTTCATCCTTTTCCAAATATGCAGCTACCACTTCACATTCTCATAACTGCCGCAGACATCCCCACCTTTGCCATTCATCCCGTCCACGTCCCAGGCTGTCACCATTCTCAAGTGCTTGGAACATTTTCTTTGCTGTATATGTTCAAGATGGTGTGTACACTAGTCACGTGATGTTGAAGCAAGCTGATAGTGATTTTTTTGCTGGCTTGCAGGTACTTTTGGTGAATGTAACTCTGAAGAAGAGGTCCACCAATGGATGAGATATAATATATTTCTGCTGCTTGAAGTTGGCACCTTTACTGCATTGGTGGAACTACTCAGCATGGAGATTGAGTAAGTGCAAATTTTGTAGGATTTTCCAAATTTCTACATTAGGGGTTCGTGCTGATGAGTTGACTGCAAAATGACAAACGGAAGTTCCTTGCTAGCACAACGCTTTTGGTAACGTGATTATGACCCTTGATTAATATGCACCTGTGTGGCATGCAGTTGCTGGCCCTTTTTAAATTTCTGTTGAGGTCTACCCATCAAACATGAGCAGGAAGGATACTGGCTGGTGAGCCAGGACAAAAATATGGAAACTCCGATCCAACATTCTGAATCTGTGGAAATCCGCCCCATAAGGCTTTGAATGATCCACTATTCACCCTCCCTGACCCCATTCCCACCTCCCTGACCCCATTCCCACCTCCCCTACCGCTTTACAGACTTGCCAGGGCCTTCTATACCAAGGGTTGGTCCTTCTGGTTCACATAACAGTTGAAATTTGCAGCATATTGAAGTGTAATGTTTTCTGACTGCCATCTTTATTTTTGACCACTATTGGTGATAAGAGTTTTTGGTTGGATGAAGATGGGTTGTGGGAATCAGCAGTGGAATAGCAATAATTAGTTCTTTCAAAAAGCCGGCACAATTGAGTTGAAACCCCTCTTCTATGCTGTATCAATCTAATTTTTTTAAGAAATCATGAGGAAAAATGTTTCTTGGATTGCTGAATGACACATTGATTGTTATCGGCATATATGTGCAACCTAATCCATGACTTTATATGTTACCAAAGGGATGCGATCAGATGAGGAATCCTTGGTGGACCTGAGTGTTGTTTCTGTTTGGGTTGAAAGGAGAAGGCATTGCCTGATGTACTCTGACTATGTTTGAATAGCTGCCATGCCCACAAGACATGAACAGAGGTCACAAGTTGCTTTTAAAATATATATTTCCTTGTTTAAATTTTTAAGTGGACAATGCTGGACAAAAACATGTGAGAAATGGAGGGATATGGACAAAGGGCAGGCAGAAAGGATTAGTTTAGTTTGGTGTCCTGTTCGGCACAACATCGCGGCCCATTCCTGTGCTCTACTGTTCTATGTTCTAAAACATGGTTGTCACTGAACATTTGATGCACATTGACCATAATTTCTAGAAACCTTTGATTGGACAAAGCTAACTTAGTGTAAAAAAAAACCCGTAAGAACTGGGGATGCTGGAAATCGGAAACCAAAATAGAAATTGCTGGAATGCAGTTGTGAAGAAGGCTCACTGGACCTGAAACGATTACTCTGATTTCACTCCACAGATGCTGCCAGACCTGCTGAGGTTTTTCCAGCAATTTCTGTTTTTGTTTCTAACTCATCGTCTGCCTGGAATCACGTACCTCATATTGCCTGAACATCAGAGCAAAACCCATGTTAATGAGCAACAGACACCAGCTCAGTCTGGTTTGAGAAAAAAAACTGCAGTTCATTATGCTGTAAAGGTGATAATAGCTCAATTGCCTAGCTGTCGTAACGACCAAAAGTTAAACCAAAAGCATAGAAACTGTCTGATTACTTAAAGCGACTCATCCAGGAAGCCCATCACATGACTGAGTCCATGGTCCCTGGAAGAAGTTTAATTGGAGGTGTTGCCTGCCTGTCTTTAGTCCAAAGTCAGGCGACACCAGGTTATAGTTGAACAGGTTTATTTGAAATCACAAGCTTTCGAAGCGCTGTCTCTTCATCACTTTACCTGAGGAAAGCTTGTGATTTCAAATAAACCTGTTGAACTGTGACCTGGTGTCATCTGACTCCTGACCTTGTCCACCCCAGTCCAACACTGGCACCTCCACATCATGCCTTTAGTCTGGTCTGGAAAGAGCTAATCTACGAGTAATATCACTGCCTATAAGATTCACTGTACAGAAGACCAGACTGCAGACAGCCTGCTTTTAGTTTGAACCTCTCCAAAACTTGGTTTCTGGAAGAAATCCTATATTCACTTCAAAAATAAACCAATTGCACTGCTTTGATCCCAACCACAATGAGAAAGGATTCTGCAATATCAGTTGATGGAAAGGAACTTTGCCTCATCACAGACTTTCTGAATTCAGTCTAATCACATAAATTTATGTAATTAACTTTGAGTTTTCAAAGTATTCCTCTGCTTTCCTTTGCTTTTCTGTTTTTTCTTAGTCTTCTTGGTAAATGTGTGTGTGGTGCAACAATCATAGTCCAGGTTAGAGTATGTGAATAAACCATACTTTTGATTTAAACCTAAAGAGAACTTATGAGACATTTGAAAATTTGGCTTCACAAAGATAAGGCCTTGAGAGCATAACACAGCCTATTTCAAAAGGGTAAAGAAGTAAGTAAATCTAAAACATCTCCGTTTATGGACAGAAGAGGAGGAGAAAACCAACATGAAATTCATCTTGTTACAGCGATAGTAGGGACTGCCGATGCTGGAGAATCTAATATAACAAGATGTAGAGCTGGATGAACACAGCAGGCCGAGCAGCATCA